AGGGGGGGGGGGAGAGAGATTTAAATAATACAAATATATTTATACATATATAGAGAGAGAGAGACATGCATACATAGCCTGAAGTTTGTTTTTAAAATACCAGTTTCACCCGTTGTAACAGGTTTTATTTAAGCCACCATTACCATTGTCACAATAATTGAACAGCAGATGATGTAGATTTAAAGGGGAAATATGGCCTAACCTTTTTTTTTTCCCCTTAGTTCTTTTCAGGGTTACAGGAGGACATATACTAATGCTATATGCTGAGACGCAGAGCCGCGCCACAGCTAGAATGGATTCGGACAATACTGTCGAGATCCACCCCACTGGCTGATTGACAGCTGATTTTGCCTCTCTAGAGCTGTGCCTGCCCCCTACCTCATCAGTTCCCCCAGTCAGCACTGGAGAAACGGAGAGGGGAGGGGAGGAATGCCTGTGGGGAGAGGATCAGGAAGTCAGCGATCGGCGCTGTGTGTTCGCTGACTTCCCGATCAATAGAGAACACCTGTGACAGCGTCTTTGTCACAGGTCGGCTTGAATTATGGGGATAATTATTTTTCACTTACCCCATAATTCTCCTTTAATGACAACTAAGAGCCTTAAACCAGTGGTGAATGTTGATTGGGCAGGTTGGATTAGTTCACTGCTGGGGATCAAAAAAGGGCCCGAAGCTGTGGCTCACAGCCTACTCTGGCCTCCCTTATGTCTACTGAGCAGTGCAAGTGCATAAAGACTTGTGAATTGTTAGCTTTGTATGATACAAAATGCAATGATAACTTTGGATTGTAAAGTCACACTCATTCAGTTCAAAGCATTTTTTTAAATCAAAATGTGTAACGTGATTAACCGTAAAAAAAGGAGATTAAATACTCCCAGGAAATGTCTTCTGTCTGCCCTTTATACAAGGACTGGCAGCATGAAGTGTATATCACCTATATACGTCTCCGGATCTGTACTGCAAGCTAAGAGTACAGCTGCAGCTTAATGCGAGTGCTATGTTTGTACAGTCATACAACACGCATGGCATGGCGTCGTACTATCATAAGAGGCAGTGTACTTTTCTGGAATTGCTGTTTGTTCAGGTGAAAAATAAATTATGTGGGCTACTCACATACATGGAGTACATAGACAAAGGCATTCATTAGACTGCATTAAGTAAGACGTGTGTTGTGTAATATTTACAGCACCCAGCTTGATGGTGTCAAGTACTTTTCCACATTGGAGAAAGGTACGTTACTTCTAAAGAATCATTTCCTTTTTAGGTTACACAAAAGTTATTATTCAGTTTGTATGACCTAGAGGCCAATTTATAACCGGCTGCAGTTTTCCTTCTCCACAAACGACAGAAGATTGTTAGAAATACCCCACCATGTATAGGCATTTTACCTTAACCACTTCCTGTCTGCCGATCGTTGAAACATGGCCGGATGGGAGTCTCCTGGATGTGATCGGGGATGACCTTGGAGCCCTTCTGAAATCCGGGAGACTCCAGACTCTATGTCCCGGTGGCAACATATGGGCGGGGTGTAGGGCAAAAGTCAACCTCAACGGTAGTCTGTGTTCCAGGAGGCTGTACAACAGCAGGAAGTGGGAGGGAATGTCATGAGACGACCGCCGTGTAGGCCCCGGTCAAGAAGAACCACGTAAAACTGAAGACGGTAGGTCCATGTACGAGATTTGCGTTGGAAACTAACCCTGTACCCTCACACCTCGTGAGAGGTGGGGTCGCGGCTCAGGTCAGCGTCAGATCGGAGGCGTGAGCGCCCTCTGCGGGGCCGCTGCGTTCTGGGAAGACGTGCACCGCCTGGCACAACAAGTTGAAGGAGCCCTGAGAAGGGAGATTGAAGGGGCTGCCCAGACCGTTACCGGACTGGAACAGAGGGTAGCAGTGTCGGAAACCTCCCATACTGATCTGGCAACCAGAGTCTCCACACTTGAGTCAGCGGTCGTGGCCCAAGCCAAGGCCCACGCCCTGCTATATTTAAAGATGGATGACGGGAAGAATAGGAACCGCAGGAACAATGTTTGCCTGCGGGGGGGCCAGAGTCCACACCAGGTGCTGACCTCCGGTCTACAACACAAGCCATACTAAATCAGCTCCTAGACCATGACCCCACGACCCATCTGGAGATGGACAGAGACCACAGGGTCAGCGGTCCCAGTGGCAATGACCGACATGGCCCCAGAGATGTCCTGTACTGGATTCATTTTTTTACACAGAAGGAAGCCATAATGCGGCAGGCCTGGATTAAAAAATCGGTGGACTTTGACGGCGCTGTGATCACCATAATGACTGATCTATCTAGGCACACGCTCTTTCTCAGGCGCCTGATGCGGCCACTCCTTGCTCAGATCTCCTCTGTTGGAGAGTCTTACAAATGAGCCACCTTCATTCTGCTGACGCCTGACCAGCTTCCTGTGTTATTCAATTTTTGGGCACAGATCCCGATGAGATTCCTGATTGGCTCCTGACCCCTGCTGCCTCGAGGCCTGCAATACCACCGGTTCCCAGACCGCAGCGGCCCCGCAGAGGGCGCTCACGCCTCCGATCTGACGCTGACCTGAGCCGCGACCCCACCTCTCACGAGGTGTGAGGGTACAGGGTTAGTTTCCAACGCAAATCTCGTACATGGACCTACCGTCTTCAGTTTTACGTGGTTCTTCTTGACCGGGGCCTACACGGCGGTCGTCTCATGACATTCCCTCCCACTTCCTGCTGTTGTACAGCCTCCTGGAACACAGACTACCGTTGAGGTTGACTTTTGCCCTACACCCCGCCCATATGTTGCCACCGGGACATAGAGTCTGGAGTCTCCCGATGCCTTTAAAAATCCCCCTGCACCCTACACTTGCCCGGAGGCCGGTGGTGAAGATATATCCTTTATAGACTGCTCTCGGTCACCACGGGGCACCACCCTGTTTTTCTGTTGAATACAGTTTTTAGTACTCATATGTCATAACCCACACTCTTATACAGGCCTCTCCGACCAGACGTCGCCTCTGGGAGGATTTGCACCCTTCGCTCCATGGAGCACTTAATTACTGTTTAATATTTAAGGTTTTTGCTATAGAGCCTTGAGTGTTCTCTGGGGTCACCCTGTCAGGTTGGCCCACCTGTCGGCTCCACCTCCATAGGGGCATCCCTTCTTCCCTTCCCCCTCATTCCCTCCACCCACCCACCCCCCACACCGACCCTCACCTTGGGCACCCTAACCGGCTGGTGAGAAGATAGTGGGCTAGCTACGCCGTACAGCCGACGGCGTGAGGGCTATTTTATTTTATTTCATGGGAGAGTGACGCGAGTCTCTGAGCCCCAACTGCAATAACACTGATGACAACAGGGGGCGATGGAGACCGTGAGATGCCAGCTCTAATGCCTGCTGGGGTGGGGTGGCTCTCAGACTGGACGACAGACAACTGGCGGCTGTTATGCCTTAGAGGATCATCGATGGGATACCGCTAATTTGACCCAACGTTTGTTTCTTATCTCTGTGTTCTGCTATGGGGATAGCTTAATTTAGAGGGTACTGCAGGGAGCATCTCGTGGTGTTTCCTTGCTTTACACTCCTCCACCTAAGTTCCCTCCTCGCTGCCAGTGTCGAGGGTTGTAGAATATTTTGTTTTGTTTATTCATATTGAGATATTTTGTTAGATATTGTTGTACCAGTACATACTTTTCTTTTCTCCTCTGTACTTCCTCCACCTATAGGGGACTGCATCCCTATACTTAATTCCCCCGCATTTCATTTCATTGCCTGCCTCTCCTCTCTGGCTGATGATTCTCTCTCTCTCCCCAGACCCTAAATTCCCCTTCTCCTTCCCCCTCCCCCCCCCCACAGGTCCCCCCTTCCTATTCCCCCAACATCAGCAGATATGTCCCGGCAGGTGAGTGGAAGGGCTGCAACTCAGCCGACGGACCTCCTTTCCTGGAATGTGAAGGGCCTCGATATCCCTGAAAAGCGTTCGAGGGTCTTGGGGGACTTGTGGAGACACAGGGTGCAGGTAGCATTTTTGCAGGAGACCCACTTCAAATCAGACTGCATACCCAGATTTACCGACCTGCATTTCCCGTTTACATACCATAGCTTCTCCCCCACCGCCAGGTCAGTGTGCTTATAGCTAGGTCTTCAGGTTGGCAGCATCTGGCTACAGTGAGTGATGGGGAAGGCCGGTACCTCTTCGTTAAAGGACATTTCTTTGGCACCATGGTCAACGTGTACGCCCCCAACTCTGACCAAATCTCCTTCTTAGAGGAATGCTTCCTAGCTCTGTCTGGCTTTGTCGAGGGGATCCTTTTTATGGAAGGGACTTCAATGTCGCCCTGGACCCACAACTCGACGTATCCAGAGATGCCTCGCATCTATCCTACTCGTTCCTTCGCCGTCTATGTAAGACTCTCCACGCGGAGCAACTAGTAGATGTGTGGCGCCTTATGCACGCACGAGAGCGAGACTACTCGTTTTACTCCACCGTTCACCGTACCAACTCGAGAATAGACTACTTCCTGATCAGACAGAGAGACTTGCACAGATTACGACACACTTCCATAGATGTCCTCACCATCTCTGACCATGCCCCGGTTCTGATGAGTATGCTCCTTCACGCTGAGGGTCCGAGACATTGGCATTGGCAGCTAAATTACCTCCTCCTGGATGACCCCTTACTGACGACCCGCATCAGTCAGGAGCTAGCCCAATTTTTCCAACAGAACCAAACACCAGTCTCTCCTCCCCTGTCCATATGGGAAGCTCACAAGTGCTATACGAGGGGTACCTTTATTTCGCATGCTTCACATGCAAAGCGCAAGCGACTAGAAACTATCTCCACGCTGTTGGCCCAAATTAACCAATTAGAGATCCGCCACAAACAAACCTTGGCTGTCGCAGTGGAAGCCGAATTGTGGACTTTGCGTCAAAAGTTGGAAGACTTGCTCCTTGGTAGGATCAAGGCCAGACAGGTGAGGATTAGGAGGACATACTATGAGTATGGCAACAAACCGAGTAGGTACTTGGCCTTAGCACTCTGGGACGCCATGGCGCAGACTTATATCCCAGCCATAACGGGGAGGGACGGCAGCTTACTCACTAGCTCAGAGGCAGTGGCAGACCAGTTCAGAGACTTTTTTCTGGAACTCTACAACCTGGAGGGCCCGCAGACCCCAGACTCAACCGCCAGACTCCTGGCCAAAACCCAAGCATACCTTGCGCAGGCGAACCTCCCTACCTTGACTCCCACGGAGGCGGTGACGCTAGACATGCCCATTACAGCAGAGGAATGGAACACAGCCCTTAAACAAATGCAACCCCGTAAAGCCCCGGGACCTGACGGCTTCTCCCTGCGTTATTATAGGGTATTCATTTAGCAGCTGACCACGCCATTCCTCCAGGCATATAATTCCCTACTTGCCGGACACTCTTTCCCAGTTGACTCCCTCAGGGGCCACTATCACAGTTATCCCCAAGGAGGGGAAGGATGCCGCCCTTTGCTCCAGCTTCCGTCCGATCTCTCTACTATATGTGGACCTGAAGCTGTTTTCTAAGGTCCTTGCTAACCGCCTCCTGCAAAGCGTGAACACGCTTATCCACACTGACCAGGTGGGCTTCCTGCCCGGCCTGGAGGCCAAGGACAACACCATAAGAGTACTAAACACGATTCACTTGGCCACGGAGAAACATATTCCCACTGTCCTCTTGTCCACGGATGCCGAAAAGGCGTTCGACCGGGTAAGCTCGTTGTTCCTCCTAGCAACACTCCGGGAAATGGGCTTTGGAGACAACCTGTGCAGATGCATAGACGCCATACACTCCATACCCACGGCTCGAGTGCGAACTAATGGGACGTACTCAGGCCACTTTTCCCTTTTGAATGGCACCAGACAGGGATGTCCAATTTCGCCTTTACTTTTTATTCTCACACTGGAACCCCTACTCTGCAGAATTAGAAACAACCCAGACATATCGGGATTACTTTCAGGCCCTAAGACCCACAAAATAGCGGGGTAGGCAGACGATCTGCTGTTTGTAGCAGACGATATCACTCCCAAACTTGATGACTGAACTAGAGAAGTACGGGGGATAATCGAACTTTAACATGAATTTTCAGAAATCGGAAGCTTTGAACCTCACGGTAGCTCCGCCGACGCTGGCAGACCTCCAGGCAGCTTTTCCGTTTCGCTGGCCCACTTCCCATATCACTTACTTAGAGACCAAACTACCCACACTGGTCAGTAAAGTTTTCGAGATGAACTTCCCGCCACTGCTCTCAGTCATTCGCCGGGATCTGGCCAAGTGGTCGGGGCGCACTCTTTCGTGGTTCGGGAGAAATAGCGTCCTCAAGATGAATGTTCTCCCACGACTACTCTACCTATTCCAAACACTGCCAGTGCACATCCCAATGACATTCCTGAAATTGGTTAGGAGAGAATTTACGTCCTTTTTATGGGCACACGGATCACACAGGCTGAGCAAATCCCTACTAGCGCTCCCTAAAGCTCAAGGGGGGATCGGTTTCCCAGATCCTATCCGATATCATTTGGCAGTGCACATGGCCAGGGCGTTCGAATGGTGCAACGTCTCATCCGACAAGCGGTGGTTGCAGCTGCACATGGCTAGGGCGTTCAAATGGTGCAACGTCTCATCCGACAAACGGTGGTTGCAGCTTGAACAGGCTGGTTCTTCACTACCGCTGGCGGGCCTTCTGTGGACAACACAATCTTTGCCCAGAGAAATCCTTAACCACCCTCTCACGGGTACCACAATTCGAATACTTAAACTGTCGCCCACAGTACTCACGGATAATGTGTCCCCATCATTACTGACCCCAGTAGTGGGAGGCCCCAGTTTTACGCCCGGTATAGAAGACAGCTCCTTTTTACGCCTCGTAGCAGCAAACAAGTTCAGACAGGGGCATTTCCTACCTCGACGGGACTTAGTAAGCCTGGAGGCACTAACCAACCTGTTTACGCCTCCCCTACTGCGCTGGCAGGCCCTTCAACTGCGTAGCTACCTCGTCAAACTAAGCACCTCCCCACCACCGCGCACAGACCTCACTCCGTTTGAAGTCATATGTCTGGTGGGCGGATACGTTGACCATGATCTGTCAAAAGCCCATGCCCTCTTGACACTGACACCCGACTTACCCAATCCTGGCTTCCTGACAAAATGGGAGAGGGACTTATCCACCACCTTCTCACAGGAACAAAAAGACTACATACTCCACTTTACCCACAAAGCCTCCACTGCTTCTGCTACTCAGGATACAAAATTCTTACCAGATGGTATTTTGTACCCACTAGGCTGCACAAAATGTTCCCACAAACTCCACCAACATGCTGGAGATATGAACAGGCAGAGGGAACCATTCTACACATCTTCTGGTCCTGCCCTAGCCTCAGGGACTACTGGGATGCAGTCACACGGATTATCAAACACCTGACAGGAAGGTCTCTTGCTGGGGATCTGGCCGCCTTATTGCTCCACAGGTCCACACTGTCTCTGAAAAAATACCGCTCATCTCTGCTTATTCACCTTGTCAACGCTGCCAGGGCCTGTATCCCGCTACGCTGGAAAAGCTCCAGCCCACCCACGGTCACAATGTGGCTCCATAAGGTGGACGAAACACGGGTAATGGAGGAGCTCACTGCGACTCTGCGCCATACTGACGACAGGTTCCGGAAAGCGTGGTTCCACTGGCTGGAATACCTCTACTCCCCGAAGTATGGTGCACTCATGGTAGAATGGGATATCGTGCCGTACCTGCGGAGATACGAAATCTAGGGGCCCCAGACATAGCCTGACGCCATAGCCTAACACCCTTGCCCCAGAGGGCCAATACCGCGCCCCCCTACTGCCTGCCGGGACTCGGCTGAATGCTCACCCACCTTACGCTTACGTCAACTCTTACCCTGATTCCACTCCTCCTTATCCTTCCCAAGTCTCAGTCCCAAACCTTTCTCTGTCTTCTCCTTCCCCCCCAACCTCTTTGTGTCATCCATGATACGACCTCTGCATGGCAGGTATCTGGTTGCACTGCCTTCCTTAGTGCGACATTCCGCAGCATAGTGGTTGCGCTTCACCCATGGGTGGTGGTGCTTAAATACGCACTGAAATACCTGTCTACCTTGCCCATATTGGGGCTACAAAACCAATGGAATTGTTAAGTCTTATGTACACTTCTCAGGTTCATGCTGTACCTACTGCATTTTACTGTACTGCACAACTCCTTTTTCTCTAATTATCCACTATTTGTACAAATGAAAAACTGAAAATAAAGAATAAAAAAAAAAACGAAAAACAATGCCCCTTTGGTGTGAACAGGGCCTTAGAGTTCTACCTATTGAAAGTGTGTTTTATGTTTTTAAAAGATGTAGAACTATGTCTGCCGATAATCAGTCAATTTCACCAGCATTACATCCTTGGCCATCAGAGGGTCTGTGGTCTTTTGCTTGCTTTTCTACCTAAGGAGTTGTCTAATGTGGATGAAGAAAAGGGCTGAAGATGGTCATTGTCCCTCCTCCATCTGTGCAAGCTGCTATAAAACACACCAGAGGCCAGCCACAGCCATGTTTGCTGAGCAAACACCAAGATCCTAAAGACAAGCTTGTATAAGACTAATTCCCAGGAAATCCTGTGCTGGGACATCAAATAAATCACAGTTGGTGACATCCAGGAGGTACAACACCACTATGTCATGTTTACAGGGGACTGCCCCCAAGTGATATGTGACAAGGAGGCCATGAACTGTAAACTTAGGTCTAAATCATTATTTTGTATTTGGTTCCTGTTAATGTATCGAACCTTTATATACATCATGTGATCTGCATTGGCTGCCCATTTTATCTATGAGTACATCATTTTCTAGGAACCTGGCACCAATCTTTTTTTGTAGCAGAAATTATTAATATTAGTGAATATGTTTATACAGACAGATACCTCACAGTTCTTTAACCTTATTGGGCTCTAAAGCACGTCCTCCTAGAACTCCTAACTATATGATAAAGGCAACACATTACCGAGAACATCTTCCCACTCCTCGTATTATCTTATTTCAGATCAAGTCTAATACAGCTATCAGAACAAAACACTAACACCATTTATACTGAATTTGATTGTTTATTTACCTCCAATATAACCCCAACACAACCAGGGATTCTTCTCAGAGACAAGGAATCCCTCACATCAGTTGTTGTTGCTGAAGTAGCATTTGGTATACTGTCCCTGCCAAGGTTATGCATACAAAGCAGGGCCGAATTGGGGGAAACAAATAAAATACCTATGACTCCTGCAGAGAGTCAACTCAACAAATCATAAATCTTTGAAAGGAAAACCAACAATCAGCTAGACATGGGCAGGGGCAAATCTCGGTCAGACAAGTAAAACAGACTTGTCTAAAATACTGCACAAAGAAAAGTCTAGATGAAGGCATTTGGGAACGGCTGATTTGGGTCTACATATTAGTGGTGATTCTGTTTTGCAGTTTCATATTTTGAAGTAAATTAGTAAGGTAGTGCAAACAAGCACGGGAAACACTAGACCAGCAGGAAAGACTGTGAGAGCACAAAAGAAGAAAAACACCAGGGATTGGAAGAAATAGGGATTTGCCTTGACCATCATCAACCATCTACAAGTAAAGCTGGCCATACACTGTTCTATGTTTGTTTATCAACCTGTGGGCTAAACGACAAATATAGAACAGATTCCTCCATCAATGAGTACAAGCCTAAAACGAGGAATCCGTCGCTGTTTCCTTTGTATTCTGACAGTGGCAGCCAGCTGTTGTCAGAATACAAGAATGGTGCTGGCAGCTTATTGGCTGCAAAGCAGTGTCTGGTCATAGATTTTCCAACTGGCTCCTTTGATCATCTGATTGAGGGATACCAGCTGAAAGGGTGCCGACAGCAGAACCCACTGTGCACATTTCTGCCGGTTCATGATGAACTTTGCACAATGTATGGCCAGTTTAAGACTAATTAGACTTTACAGCCAACAGATACCACTGGATATTACTCTTTTCACAATACCATTTCTATGTATCTGCAGATAATGGGCTGTCTCATGGAAACAACTGATTGGATGTTATCACGCACACACTAGAAGAGGAGCTTTTAGACTGGCTGGCTACAATGCTTATACTTTTCTATACAATATCAATCAATAAGCTAATCAAGCTTTCATTGTGCATTTCCCCCATCCCGTTTTGCAGTGATGTTCTATGAAATCCAATCTGTTTTATGCTGCTGCAGAAAAGGAGTGAACTGCAACTGGAACTTTGTGAAGGACCATTCCGTGCACATAGAATGTCAGCAGTATTTAACGACCTGAACTACACGACTGTTTCTCCAGTACTGGGTGCCACAAACAAACTCCTGTGTTAGCCCTGTCACAATGTAAAAGCAGAGACAAACAAATGATATCAGGGAGTAAGAACTATAGAACACCTCCCACCCTGTTATGGCAATAAGGTGAGTGGAAGATGTTCTGAAGCCCTAGTATACTTCTGTCCTAGGGTGACCCTAGTTCACCTTAGGACAGAAAGTGTGTTACTGGCAGGGTTACCAGATGAAAATGAAGGTGGAAATCCTAAAAAAAAAGGAAAACTTATGCAGCCACCACATCTAAGGACTGATAAGCTGCCCTTATTATAATGTTATTCTTGTGTTTAGATACAATTTAAATATACAACTTTTCTATTTTCTTATGGTGACACTAGACTCAGGAGATCATTGTTAAAAATACATTCAAGTACCTCAACTATTAAAGGAGAACTATGGGTTTAGGCCTTTCCCCCATAGTTCTCTTAAGGGTAACAGGAGGACACAAACTAGCGTCCTCCCGCCACCCAAAGCTCAGTATGGGGCTAGCTACAGCTCGCGGTATACTGAGACGCCTCAGCCGGAATGGATCCCGACAATTATGTCTGGATCCGCCCAGCTGCGTGAGTGACAGCTGGCTCTGCCTATCTAGAGGCAGAGCCAACTGTACCCGCCCCCTCCCCCGTCCGTTCCGCCAGTCAGCGCTGGAGGATCGGTCAGGTGAAGGGGAAATCCAGTCCCTCCCGTCACGGCTCTCTGCCGGCACAGGATCGAGAAGTGAGCGAGCGCCGGTATGTCTTCGCTCACCTCCCGATCTACTGAGCCGACCTGTGACAGTTTCATTGTCACAGGTCGGCTCAGATTATGAGTGAAAAGCACTCACCTCATAGTTCTCCTTTAACAAAAATGCATCTTATTTGTGTATCACTCGGCTGTAGATCCTCAAATCATCTCTGAATTGGTGCTGACACTGTCCTTCCTTCTGAAGGGTGGCTACTTTTGCTCCCCTATGGTCCTTGTGTGTGTTGCTTGGAGCCACCGCTCCAAGCTTTCTCCTGTGATGGACTACAATCTCATGTTTAGTTTACTAATTTGTATTGAGATTGTAGTCTATCACGGGAGTGAGCTTGGAGCGGTGGCTACTTTACAGCACACACAAGGACCATAGGGGAACAGAAGGAAGGACAGTGTCAGCATGAATTTAGAGATGATTTGAGGATCTACAGCCGAGTGATACACAAATAAGATACATTGGTGGGAATTTATCAAAACTGGAGCAGACAAAATCTGGAGCAGCTGTGCATGGTAACCAATCAGCATCCACCTTTCATTTTCAAATCTTAACTGAACAAACTGAAGGGAGAAGCTGATTGGTTACCATGCACAGCTGCTCCAGTATTGATAAATTCCCCCCATTGCTGTTAATAGTTAAGGTACTTGAATGCATTTTTAAGATTTAACTCCTGAGTTTAGTGTCACTTTAAGACCAACTATGGCAGAGTAGGAAAATTCAGTCTATGGTCAAATCAGTGAGATGCCAATGAACCTACCCATATGAGATTTGATAATGAGAGGAAACCAGAGCACAAATTTCATAAGGATAGTGTGCAAAATGGGAACTGAACCCATCACCACAGCGCCGCAAGGCAGAAAACTAACCCCTGTGCTGTCTGGAGTAAATAGAAGTGCAATTAAAAAGTTGTAATTGCAATATAGCGTTGCAAACAGAGGGTGTGGATCAGACTAATACAGACTTGGTTTTGTTGACAGCCTTACTGTAGACTTTAAAAAGCTACAGATCAACAAGGCTTCACTAGTGGCACTCTACAAATATGAGCTTAGTCCTCATTTCACAGACTGAGTCAGTCTTTGAGCATAGCTCACGTAATACCTCGAACATTCAGAGAGAACAGGCTTACTCCACTTCAAGTAGACAGTCTTTTCCCATGCTAATTATCTTTCAGTAGAGTTTTATTGAAGGGTCACAATGCGTTGTAGATTACCAAGCGTGTGGGGCTGCTGTCATTTCAAATATGAGTTGCAGAAAGTATTGAGAGTGGTCA